GAATGCACTGAAATCTTCTTATAGCATATTTTATTGCTATTTGAACTTGCTGTGGTCATGACGCATCCTTCCAATTCTTTATAAATTGTGGTGATAAACTCAGAGGCCAGTATATAAGGGGTAAAATGAAAATAGCTTCTCCCCCTCCTCACCCCCTTGACAGAGGGGGGGAAAAGGCAAGATGCAGTGAAGTGAGAAAGAGAAAATGAACTTCTGAGTCAGCCACATGTGAATTTCAGACAGGTTTTTACTCATATGATTCTGTTTAATCACCATTCATTTCCAGCATTTTTTTTAACCAGGAAGTTTTTTAATTTTCTTTTTACTAAAAATGCATTGTCTGTCATGATAAAAAAAAAAAAAAAGACTGACTCGTTGCAGATTATTACAGAAATAATTGAACTGACTGTGTACTGCATTTTTTCTCTATATATTTAAAGTATTTCGCTGATATTAGTAATTTGGCACTTTTTCTTTGTCTCTTCCTCTTTCTCTGAAACTCCAAGCAGTGATTTACACATTGAAGGTCTAGTCAGGCACACACCATAAACTTATACCAAATGATTTTTAAATTGGTCCTCTCTAATGCTTAGGTCAGACTAACACCTGGTTTCGGATGAAGTCATATCTTTGGCTGCCTTTTCTCTGCTTCTCCCTCCTTTTTTTCTTCCTCTCCCCACCACCCACCATTAGTGAAGATAATTAAGAGGGATAATAAATCACGAAAAAATCACAAAGATTTAGGATCTATTGAGGTCCAAATCAATCTCACCATTTTTTTGCAGAAACAAGCATGGGGAGATGAGAACTTCTGACTAGGCAGCAATGATAAAGCTCCAGACATCTCTGAAAAATATCTTTTGGAACAAACTCCCTCAAAATAATTATTCCAAAAGAAATGGAGCTCCCATTAAGTGCAAATGGTCTATTTGTCAGAATTGGGTTATTTAGCACATGTTTTTGGTGCATGTCTGCAGTTCTGCTGAGTTATTTACTCATATCCAAACCAGCTTTGTATTGGTTCGACTGCTGCAGAATCTCAATAATTTGAACTGCCTTGAATTATGGAGGAAAGGGGACAGGTAGTGAAATCCACCTATCTCCTCCATTTTTCCCACAATTCTAACCAAATCAGGGTCCCTGTACATTTCTGAATCCAATGTTTCCTATTCCAGTACACAGTATGCATTACACCAGTAGCACACAACTGACAGAACCAAGATCTCTTTCCAGTTTAAGTTGATCCTTTGAGCTAGTACCTTCACTACATAAGATTGTGTTTTTTTTTAAATCTAGGGCTAGCAACCTTCCCAAAGAGCATTCAATCTGGGTTTAAGAAACTGATCTTGTGCTCTTTCAAAGCTGCAAAGGGGCAGATTCCTCCTTGCAGTCCAAGCCAAACTAGCATGGAATTCAGTGCTCCAAGGAAGCCCTGCCTGCAGCAACTTCAAGTGAGAGTATGGCCATGGCCAACCTGCCATGGTCAACTCACCATGGGACAAATCATCATGGCCAACTCGCCATGGGACAAATCACTGCAGGACAAGAGTTACACTAATATCAAAGAAATGGTGGAATAGAATCATTGAAAAAGGGGATGCAAAAGGAAGGACAGAATGAAATGTAAATGACAAAAGTTAAAGTAGTTTTTGTTAAATTATCTTGCGGCGAGTTATCCTGCAGTGATTTGGCAAATAGTCCCACAATAAGTTGGCCATGGTGAGTTGGCTGTGGCAAATTGGCCGTGGCGAGCTGGTTGTGGAGAGTTGACCAATTCCAAGTGGAGAGTAGGAGAAGGATAGAACCCAGATCCTGACTCATCCTCACCAATGACGTGCTACAGGTCATTAGTAGAGCAAGATACCTGCCAGAAAAAGGGAAGAAATATAAAAACTGAAGACAGCTGCCTCTGTGCTGGATGAGTGATGAGATGAAGGTGTCTTCATAAAGATAAGCCCTCTTTAAAAATTAGGGAGGGGTCTTTGTGCTGCAACTAGGTGGACCTGAGGATGACCTCCTAGTCATTACATGCAGAGCATGTAAGTTCTACATGTTATATATCTGTACGTTTTCAGGCAAGAGTGTACATTTACCCAATCATTTTTCAGCTTCAAAAGTTCTGAAAATCAAAAACTTTGCTTAAGATTCCGTATCTCCAGTTCAAGCATTGTTTCTTATCAGTGTTGGGATTCAAGTAATTTAACAACCAGTTCTCTGCCCTAATGATTTCTTCCAATAACCAGTTTGCCAAACGGCTCAGAAAGTTAACAACCGGTTTTCCTGAAGTGGTGCGAACTGGCTGAATCCCACCACTGCTTCTTACCTGTAAGTAATGCTTAAGACTTGTGTATCAAGATCCCAAGTCAGAAGCCTTTCAAATGCAGCCAAGTTTTCCCAGCTGCAAAAACAATTGTAATTCCCAAGGGCTCTCAGCTCTAATATTTGTATGAAATGATGTCGAAGGGCTTGGCAGCAGGGCTGGATGCTAAAGTTGCATCTATAAACTCCCAAAATGAAATAACCTTTTTTAACATTTTAATTAAAAAATGATGGACTTTGCAAGATTATGACATCCCACAATATTTTTTGCTTTCTCTTAAGAGATTTCCCCATTTTTGTATGAGATAGTGAAATTTTGAGATAAGATTATGCAAAGATGTTAATAATATCTTTTAGGCTTTCCGTATTTGTTTTAATTCTTTGTTTGTTATGGTGGTGCTGAGAATCAGATTTCTTGATTGCACCTGAAAAAGTGCCATCTTTCATCTTAAACAGGAGCCGCAGGACAGGTTTAGAGCCGAAAAAATATTGGATTCTTTTCAACCACATAGCTTTTTATGAAAGTGAATGAATATGAAGTATGAAAATGGACGATTCAGATATTTCTGAATAGGCCTAAAATAGGAGTAAATTCGAAAAATGTCTGACAAAAGTATGTCTGAATCAAGTTTGCATTTGGCAATTATGATTGTCAATGTACCTCTAGTCGGGCTTTGATTCTTGGCAGCTAACATTTACTTAGTATAATCAAAGTCATGTAAATTACAGTATGTGCAATTGGTTCCAGAATTGCTGGTATTTTCAGACAGTGTCTTTTTTTTCTGCACGCTCACTTCTGCCCTTTCTACAATTTCTGCTCTTCAAGCTTTGAAATACAGAATTGAAGGCTGGGTCCAGGTAACAATCTGAGATCTGAAATTTGAAAAGTAGTTCAGTGTGATAAAGAGGAAAATAGCTTGAAGGCCTATATTCTGGGTGTGTGTTGATAAGGACAAAACAAACAGAAAATTAAGCAAGCTATTGAAACATCTGATCATTTTCCAGCTCAGTCAGTTCAGATTTTCACAACTCAGGTATGTGCGGGAAGGTAATGTGGAAGACCTGTAGAGACCTTTTGTATTACCTACAGAGGTCCCAAGCAAAAGATGTCTTGCCTTGTCTCAAAATAATTTTTACAACAGTGTAAACTTGACAGTGATGAACTTGCTTGAGACCAAGGAAGGTAAAGGGTGATCTTACACTTCCAGGTATAAAACTAATGCTAGCCCTAATTTTTCTAAACCTGGAAATATATGATCTCTATTTTCCTGAACATAACTCCCAGACAGGAATATTTGGGCTTCCAGTCATAAGAATTCAAAAAAGACAACTACACAATACAAAGAATTAAGAGATCAGGATAGAACAAGTTGATCACCATCTATGGCTTTCTTGGCAGATGGAGATCCACTACTCAAGCTCATGGCATTATTTTGCTGGGAATTGAAGATATTTTTATGGGTTCTTCCAATTAAAAGGTCTTTCCCCAATTCCCTTAGGGCTTAAGGCACAGGGATTCTTATTAGACTGCGACCATCATCTAAAATGTTCTTCTATAAAACACAAATAACGGTATGCTACCTTGTATTAAAAGTATGAATAATATAACAGACTACAATGATGCATTTTGTATGTAAAAATTGATTTGTGCTTAGTAATTAAATTGCAAATAGCATTTGCTAATCCTTAACTACAGAAGAAGTTGATGACCAGATCTGAGCTGACAGAGAAGTTAACAGAACTGAATTGACTTGACTGTTCCACATGAATTTGTTCTTAATAATCCCAGGTTACTAAAGCAATTTATTTTTTCCCATTACCTTTTTTTTTCTCTTGTAAATCGTTCATTGGCATCATTCAGAGTCAATCAATTACTTCAATTCTTGCTGCCATGTCCTTAAAAATACACTATAACAAAGCCAAAAGTTGGATAGAAGAAAGGGGGGAGGGATAGAAGAAAGACAGCAATATAGCCGAGGGATAAATTCAATAACAACCACTTTTTTGCTCAATGCTTTGACAAAATTCATGATTTTCCAACCCTTTGGGGGTTTTTTGTTTCTTTTTTTTTAATGACACAACTTCATGAATCCAGTTTAATGCAGTGGGAATTTCTTCCATGAAAATGTATTCAGGATTGCATCCTTAGAATACCATTCTATGAGTTTAGGATAGCTTTTGAAGATGTTCTATAAATTAAGCTGGTGCAGATGAATTTTATCTGATGCAGATAAAAGGTTAATACAGTTATATTTCTCCTCATTTGAATATGCTAATGCTTTCGTAAGAAAGTCCTATTGCTGGTGTCCCAGAAAGATGGATTGTCAAGGAATGGCACTTCTCATAATAGTCTGCTGGATACTGTGGTTATCTGACACTATCTTCCTGTGAGCATCGCAGAGATTTGAAATAAAAGTGGGAGGTGAAGAGAGATTTTGGCTTTATCAACACAACACTTATTCAGAAACCAGTCTTCTATCTTTAGTTGGATTTATTATCAGGCAGATGTTCAAAGAATGAGAGCTTCAGTACACAAGTTGAAACACCGTGTATGGTGGTTAAGGGACACAATTGTCTTTTGTACCTGCTTACATTTGGAGATTTTAGGAAATAAAATGCAAATGAGAATTCTGTTGTTACTTTCTCACTGCACTGTTTTCTTTTTTTTCTTTTTAACCTAGTGAATAGCGTTAAGCACATAGTAAGAAAGTATCGTGGGCATCTTCGAACGAAGATTGAATCTGGAGAAGGAACCATTCCAGCTCGATGTACCAATGGAATTCAGACATGGGATGGCGTGTTACTGGGGGAACAGCTAATCACAATGTCTTGCACAGACAAAATTGCCAGGTAATATTTTAATGAAACTGAACAGCAGGAAGCAATGAGCGTGGAAATGATATTAATTTAATAAATCCTAAGGAACTTCTTTAGTGTTCACCCGCACACACATATATAGTGTTATTATAGCAATTGCATCAGGACTAACATGCTTTTCATAGGTTTACATGTCAATAATGTATGCTTTCTTTAGATGATAGATCACCTGTGATTAGGTGACTTTTCAGACTCATCTTAATTTTTTATATTCTGAATTACCAACCAAGGAATCAGTGACACTAGTTGTGTAGTCCTTTTGCACTGTAGACATTTCTGATGTGTGTTATAGAATGCACCCAACAGTATGTGCCTGCGACGGAGCCAGTACAGAAATATTGAACACTTGCCATCAACTCCCCCAAAGAAGTTTCTCAGAATTAGATGACCTTATAGCTGTAACTGAGAAACTGTGTTAAACTACAATAAATCTATACTGAAACAGAGGAAGATCATCTATCCAGGCCAAGAGGTAGGAGGTAAACTCACCCCTCCCCTAACTGTCTGTTTGGATCCTGATGAGAAAAAAACAACAACAAAAAGTTTTAATGAAACAAAACATTCTACCCATGAGCCATGGTGGCGCAGTGGTTAGAATGCAGTACTGCAGGCTACTTCTGCTGACTGGCAGCTACCTGCCATTTTGCAGATTGATTCTCACCAGGCTCAAGGTTGACTCAGCCTTCCATCCTTCCGAGGTGAATATAATGAGGACCCAAATTGTTAGGGGCAATATGCTGACTCTGTGAACTGCTTAGAGAGGGCTGTAAAGCACTGTAAAGCGGCATATAAGTCTAAGTGCTATTGCTATTACTATTATAAATCACAGCTATATAAAAGAGCTGTTGTCTACCTAAATATTTGTTTGTTATAAACATTTCTTGCTTATCTAAGTAATGTGTTTCTTATGCTGAGCAATACAACCAGTATTAGTCCAAAGAAAAAGTCCGAAGAAAAAAATTAAATTTGAATTTTGCAAAATTATGTTTCAGCTACTCTAAACGCTCCTTCTGGTTTCAGCACAATATCGGATACTTACATGTTTCTTCAGATGACATTAATTCTAAAATAACAGGCCACAAAAATAGCACCCAACTAACAAATGACATCTTGGAATATATGGTTCTTTGACAATAATGTAAAGACATGAATGCTGGCTGGGTGACTTTGGGCCAATCACTAGGCAATTGTGAGTTCTAGTCCTGCTTAGGCATGAAAGCCAACTGGATAACTATGGGCCAGACTCTGTCTTTTGGCCCAATTCACCTCACAGAGTTGTGGAGAAAATTGAAATTAGGTAAACTGGTTTTTTCCCCCTTCAGTCTATCAGGGGAACCTGGTTTAACAAATTATGGGACAGAGCATACTGCTTCCGTTTTTGCCTTTCAGCCCCAATCCAGGGGCCTTCGCAGGCAGTTGCTTTCGCAACAAATTATTTTTGTGTTAAATTTATGTTTTACTGACTAGGGTATGGTTAGCTGATGAGAGCTAAATAGCTTAAAATAAATCTATACTAGTCTCCCTTTATTTCTTTGCCGGTAAAACATAAATTTAACACTAGAAATTAGGTATGCTTGCTGCCTTGAATTATTTATAAAAATAATAAGGGCAAGATAAAAAGTCTAAAAATATATAAATAAATAATCAATCACGCACATGTATATGTTACTAATTTTTATTTATACATTTTCTACAATTATACAATTTACAATAAGGTGATGAGAGCCAATGAATGGTACTCCACTACTTCAGTGGAGGAAAGTTTCCTTTTTTATTTCCTATATTAGGTTTCATCTAGATAGGGCTAAATTAACAATTTGGGTGTACATTAACTTATGTACATGCTGTCTGGGTTCCAAGTAACACCCCCAACTAAAGACACATGCATTAAGTTCTGTGCAGAAGAGAGCAGTGACGCATTACCGAAAAAAAATGAATGTTATTTTGCGGTAAGCAGCACAAAAATGTTTACTTTAAAAGTTTGCAAAAGTTTACAAAATAATAATCTGTTTAAAATCAGTGGTATTGCCCAATCAGGATGTGTCTTCATCTAATTGATCCAACTCTAACAATTATGCAGGATTCTAATGACACTACATCAAAATAATGGACTACATGGGTAATGAAACAATCTCAAAATAATGGCATTAGATCAACATTTTCTCTAACATTTAATCAGAGAGGTAAGGGAGAAGCTTCTTGTGCTACTCCCTCACTGCTTCTGAACACAACCCAACTTCTAATATGAGATTTCAGGATGAAGAGGACAACTAAATCAATTATGGCTTCCCTGACGAAATGTTGCTGTCTCTGTTTTTCTCTGTGTCAATACATAATAAATTAAATATCAACTCAAGAATCAGATTATATTTTAATATTGATGAAAAAGTCAATTTCAGTACTGACTATATAAAGCTGCATTTTCTTCAACTAATGAAAATCAGATGAGAACTTGAACTTCTTCTACAGACTGCTGCAAAATACTGTGATATATTATCATGCTTGATTCCAGGATCAAAAGACAACCCGGCAGCTTCTAATGGTTTATATATTTATTAATTAATTACATATTAATATAATCGTACCATGGGATTTTTTAGTCAGTTCTACAGCTGTTAAAATCAGAGAAGAAATGACATACAGCTGAAGTTGCTCTCATATTGTGGTTTCTCTTCAGTTTGTATAAATCACAACATTTTTTTCAGGATTCTGTCCATCAGCCCTATTGACTGGAAATTATTAAATTTAACACCATCTAAAGAACTGACCATGAAATGCAAGACTACCATCTTCTGAGTTTTATTAGAACAGCCAAAGTTAGCTAAAGTGTTAGTGTAATATTAAACGAAGAACTAACAAATATGTCCCCCATCAGTATGCAGCCAAAATAATGTCTACATTTAGAAACTGTCAGAGGTGAAATGTGAAGAAATGTATGTGCACAGGGGAACAAATACACTAACCATATATGAATGTTGGTTATGGATGCATACTCAGCTGAAAAACTTCAAAAATATTAAGAATGTATTTTAATGACAGCTCACTGTAAAATCAGTAGAGAACATGAAGGGATGGTTACCCAAAATATGTCTTTGTTATATTGCTTCCTGCTGTTTTTAATGTTGTGCATTGGCCAGAATCTTTGTAGACTTGAGCAGCCTTCTAAATTTGATAAATAAATGTCTCTGGCATCATTGTACTTTCCAAGCTTGCTAGCTTTTTTTTGGAGATGTTTCATACCCAACTAAGTGACATCATCAATGCTAGAATGAAATACAGTATGTTCTTTGTTTATATACAAGTGGCTTGCCCTGTCAGTGTTGGTGGGAGGGATCATACTAGTTCCTTAATTAGACTGTTGTTTACTGTTTGATTGTTTGTCTGAGTTGGTAGTTGCTTGATTGGATATTATTTACTGCTTGATTGTTTGTCTGGTATTAATCTGCTGGCATCTGTTTAGATAGGTGTTGATTGCTGGCAAGGAGGTATTTCAGTTTCTTTTTGTGTGAATATATACTAGTTGTTTCTTTATAGGCTGTAACAATCTAAATATTCCCATTTGCCTAAATAAATTTATTGACAATTGAATCTTTCATTCTATTTACTTTTTAGAGATATGAAGAATATTCCCCATTGAGATCATCAATCATACTTGCTTTAAAGCAACCTATTTGCCTGACGTACACCGAGAATCAAAATAGTATTTTTCTAATAGATTAGAAAGAATTACTGAAGCCTGGTGAATAATGCACAGTTAATAATTTATCTAACAGCTGTTATCATTTTTCTGTACTTACAAGATATGGAAGCAAGAAAGCAGTTTCATCAATCTGATTATCATTCAAAGGACTAGGCAGCATTATAGGATTTTGAAGATCTGTAAATGTGTTATCTTGTGATAGCATTCTAGATTTTAAAATACAGCCCGGCCTCTGGAATCTGAGATGGCTACTCTGTCATGGCAAGGGAGTTCTTGGCCATCTTCAATCTCATATTCAAGAGCCTATAGTTTATCTAGGAGTATTAGTCTTTTAAATTGCCAAGAGTTTCTTGCTCTAGATCCGTGATGGCGAACCTATGACACGTGTGCCATAGGTGGCACATGGAGTCATATCTGTGGGCATGCAAGCGTTGCCTTACGTCAGCTCTGCCAGCTGATTTTTGGGCCTTCTATGCCCACTGGAAATTGGGAAACGGGCTGTTTCCAGCCTCCGGGTGGTGGGGGAAGGCCGTTTTTGCCTTCCGCAGGCTCCTAGAAAGGCTCTGAAGCCTGGGGAGGGCAAAAAACCCGGCCTTCCAGTCCCACTGGAAGTTGGGGAGCAGGCAATTTCCGGTCTCCAGAGGCCCTCCGGGGGCTGGGGAAGGCCGTTTTCGTCCTCCCCAGGCTCCAAGAAAGCCTCTGGAGTATGGGGAGGGTGAAAAATGGGCGTACCGAGCCTATTGTGCCATCACATGCCAAAAGCGGGAGAGTGCGGGGGGGTTGCACACACATGCGCGGGGGTGGATGGGGTGCGTTGAATTATGGGTGTGGGCATACACACATGTGACCCCCCCCCCAATGCTTCCCCCACTTTTGGCACGCGACAGCAAGAAGGTTAGCCATCACTGCTCTAGATCATAGTAAGACTGCATGTAACTCATAACACAGGTAAAATAAAGGTAAACATTTCCCTGTCCAGTTGTATCCAACTTTAGGGGCAATGGTAGGCATCATAACAGCCAGCAGTTACTTTGGCTTTTATATTTCTCCAAAGGCAGTATGATTTGACCTACAGGAGCTGCCTGGAAGTGAAAATGGAATTGTAATTCCTATTGTATATTGAACAAATTCAAATGGCTAGCCACAGTAACATCTTAAACAGCTACCTGACCTCAACTTTATTTTTATTTCCTTGAAAACAAAATATATTTGGCACTTGATATCTTAAAATACCTTAGCAAAATAATTTATGGATGTAATAGATTTCAGGATA